GACCAAGGAGCTCGCCAAAAAGGTCAGGGACAAAGTTGTGGAGAAGTACAGATCAGGGTTGGGTTATAGAAAAATATCAGAAACTTTGAACGTCCCACGGAGCACCATTAAATCCATTATTAAAAAATGGAAAGAATATGGCACCACAACAAACCTGCCAAGAGAGGGCCGCCCACCAAAACATCAGAGAGGCAACAAAGAGATCAAAGACAACCCTGAAGGAGCTGCAAAGCTCCACAGCGGAGATTGGAGTATCTGTCCATAGGACCACTTTAAGCCGTACACTCCACAGAGCTGGGCTTTACGGAAGAGTGGCCAGAAAAAAGCCATTGCTTAAAGAAAAGGCATGTGGGAGACTCCCCAAACATATGGAAGAAGGTACTCTGGTCAGATGAGACTAAAATTGAGCTTTTTGGCCATCAAGGAAAACGCTATGTCTGGCGCAAACCCAACACCTCGCATCCCCCCGAGAACACCATTCACACAGTGAACCATGGTGGTGGCAGCATCATGCTGTGGGGATGTTTTTCCATCGGCAGGGACTGGGAAACTGGTCAGAATTGAAGGAATGATGGATGGCGCTAAATACAGGGAAAATCTTGAGGGAAACCTGTTTCAGTCTTCCAGAGATTTGAGACTGGGACAGAGGTTCACCTTCCAGCAGGACAATGACCCTAAGCATACTGCTAAAGCAACACTTGAGTGGCACAGTGGTCTAAGGCACTGCATCGCAGTGCTAGCTGTGCCACTAGAGATCCTGGTTCGAGTCCAGGCTCTGTCGCAGCCGGCCGCGACCAGGAGACCCATGGGCGGCGCAAAATTGGTCCAGCGTCGTCTAAGGTAGGGGAGGGTTAGGCCGGCAGGGATGTGGGTTCGTTTCCCACGGGGTGCCAGTATGAAAATATATATATATATATAAATAAATAAATAAATAAATGTATGCATTCACTAACTGTAAGTTGCTCTGGATAAGAGCATCTGCTAAATGACTTAAATGTAAATGTTTAAGGGGAAACATTTAAATGTCTTGGAATGGCCTAGTCAAAGCCCATACCTCAATCCAATTGAGAATCTGTGGTATGACTTAAAGATTGCTGTACAACAGCGGAACCCATCCAACTTGATGGAGCTGGAGCAGTTTTACCTTGAAGAATGGGAAAAAATCCCAGCGGCTAGATGTGCCAAGCTTATAGACATATACACCAAGAGACTTGCAGCTGTAATTGCTGCAAAAGGTGGCTCTACAGAGTATTGACTTTGGCGGGGTGAATAGTTATGCATGCTCAAGTTTTCAGTTTTTTTTGGTCTTATTTCTTGTTTGTTTCACAATAAAACATATTTTGCATCTTCAAAGTGGTAGGCATGTTGTGTAAATCAAATGATACAAACCCCCCACAAATCCATTTTAATTTCAGGTTGTAAGGCAACAAAATAGGAAAAATGCCAAGGGGGGTGAATACTTTCGCAAGCCACTGTATGCAAATAGGCCATTTGCCTGCCATCATTCACTTTGAACTGGACTGTGTTTACAGGCAGTAGCAATAGTGGGACTTTAGAGCAATATAAATAATTATCCAAAAGCCACAAAATACACCTGAATGGATTTCTGCAAATATGTAAATACCACAGGAGTCCTCTTACATTTGGGAACTTTACAGTCCTATTAATCAAACAACCATGAAAAGGTAGGCTCTCTCCCTCAGTTGCCTACAACAACAAGATCAACAACTAATGTTAGCCAGAGCGAGATGAGCTAAAATCTAACGAAGGAACAGTAGATAAACCCTGTCAAACTTTTTCAACTTGTAGTTGGCCGTCAAAATTGCACTGATAAACGATGGGGACGATGGGGAATAGTAGGCTGCTCGCCCTTCTGCAGCTTGCCTGCCAATGCATGCTTGTCCTAAACCACGTTTTGACAACTGAGTGGGAACTTGCCTGCCCACCCATTTGATCAATGCCAAATACGTTTGATTGAAAACTAAGAGATATGCTAACTGCGGTTAACAGTCGTTCAAGTTCAGCATAGCTAACTAGCAAAGTGATTCACATTTCTTGCTAGCTAAGCAAATGACACCTGCATCCAGGGCCGGCGTTCTGGCCGAGCCCTAGGGGACTTGGCCCGCCCTACCGTACCTCCTTGCCCGTCCAAATAACATTTTGAAATATTTATTATTTATTTGACCGAGACGCGCGCCAACAGAAAGACGCATCAATCTCAGATAAAGCATATGATCGAGCGAAACCGCGACCCTCTGTCTCAGTATGTGTAGACCATGTATCTGATGCTGTCTGGACAAAAGGAGTATGGCATGTCATACTTTTTCTGGCCAGACAGCATCAGATACATGGCCTACATATAGTAAGACAGAGGGGCGCTGTTTCGCTCGCTAGTTTCAGCAGAGAGGAAGAGGCGAAGCAAGAGGGCTCACTCTTGCGAAAATCTGTCCTGAATAAGCTCAATGTGCTTCTATGGGCATAATATGCAGACCTAAGCTTGTCGCCTGCATTCCTGCCTTTGGAACAATGACTCGCATTGTTAGGGGGGAGACATGAGCATCTCATCAATATATACAGATCTCTGGTTTCAGCCACTTGCGAATTAGAAAGGAAAGTTGCCGGGTGCACAGTGCACTGTTTGGATACTGGCTTCCCCTAAAGTAAATGTAATGTTTTGCCAAAATTATACAATCACTCCTGTCTAAATAAATAATTCAAAATACTTTACCAGAGAGCTTGACTTAGCCACAGCGGAGCATTAGCTTTTTTTTTTTTTTATGCATAGGCCTATGCCTATTTGGGAAGCCAGCAATTTGGGGAGCGCACGTGGCAATAGGCCTAGCTGATTATTGAGTTGCGGCTTTCAATGAAAAGCATCTCAAATGTGTGAAGATAGTGTCTTGAGTATAATTACAATTTTGAGACAAGAAGAAGGGGAGGGGGGTGTGGTCGAAGATATGGGCGTCTCTCTCCAGAATGTGCTCTGCTGTCTCCCGCCAATTTTTGCACATTCATTGTTTCATTGTGTGAATTGTTTTCCTTTTTTAATTGCTTATTTTGATCAATTCCCCATTACATATGTAACCAGTAGGCCTAGTAAATGTGCTGTTAATCCCCCGTCATTTGGTTACATTAATTTCTGTTAATGCATGTATTACAGTAATATACCGTTCTCATTCTGAGAGTGGAAACATTGTTTGCAGAGTTCACAACCTGCTACACTTGTGAGAAACAAGTTTTGGTTTATTTCATAACCATCATTTAGCAGTTTTGTCCATGTTTTCATTGTCTTTTGTTTGGAGTGCTCCATGTGAGCATGTTTGTGGTTTCTCTGTCCTTACAACATTGAGGGAGCGCACGTGCCTGAGCACGCGAAACCTGATACAATGCTGCATTTCACTAGCGATAGCGCAAGTCAAGACAGATCTAAAGGGAGGCAGACAGGCGGAGTAGATAGATTAATGCAATTGAAAGAACCTGCATTTTTTACTGTTTTTATTTGGTCAGCTTTAGGCCTATGTATTTTACTTAGTTGACAATGGAAGTTATAGGCCTACTGCTGCATTGGCCTATAGTAGTGGTCACCAACCTTTTCTGAGTCAAGATTATTTTTATAAAAAATAAAATAAATATTAGGTAATGGATAATTTGTTGTATTACTTGTGAGTCACAGCTAAGTGAGCATAATAATTTGCTTATTTTTACTGGCCTGATGGTGAGGATGCCTCTCACCCGACTCACCGTCCCTCCGCCCTCCTTCCCTCCGCTGAGAAATGGGGACACAGTCTTCCAGCTGAAACTCAAGTTGCACTGCATTATTTCTGCCTCATGCACTAAATCATGTTGTTACTCCTATGACCAGAGAAATTGAAATATTCCTGAATATTAAAAAAGACACAAGATGCTAATAATAACGCAAAATTATCGGAACACTTTGCTATACTCATTCATTGCAGCTGCAGTGCTGGTTGTAGCATGTGGAAGTAGGGAGAACACACATTTTATGGCTTATAAAAGTGTTAACAGTGCTGAATAACAACAAACATGAACTTACACATAAAAACAGCAGCTCTTTGCTGTATTCGTTGAGTCTCACTAAAGTCATGGTTTTAAACGTTTTGAAATCTCAGTATCAACTTTGCTGTGCGTTCGGGGCTTCTTTTTCTAGTCTATGGCTTGAGGAAACTGTGCAGACACGGTGACCTGAGCTATCTGAACGGCCAGCGGTAGGAATATAGGTGCACTTGATTTGCTCTCTGGGCCTGCCGGGTAGGCGGAGTTCTACCTTCAGACACATGAAATTGTTCAAAATGGGAACGTTTTGCCTTACCGGCACTAGTGCTGCTGAATCAAGTGCACCTACCGCCAACAGCGTCAAACAAATACAAAAAACAGGAACGCAAGGCTTTATGGTTGTTGTTTTTTACAGAAATGTTTGGTGATCGACTAGGTTGGTGACCACTGGCCTATAGGCTATCTCTGAGTTCCAAGCGCTAATTTCTTTAGCTACCAATGGAACACGGTGTATCAATGTGTCCATACGGCAAAGGCTGGTGCTCTTGCATTAGTTTAATTTTAACTTTTAGATTCGTATCATTTTAATTCAGATTTTTATGATTAACCACGTGACAATCATTTTGATAAACGAAAACGTTATTATTGAAATAAAACTGTTCCACGCAAATGCGCATATAAAAAAATGTATAACTGGCTTTCCAAATACTTATGACACCTTCAAAATGGGGGGACTAGACACATAAAGTGCTTTCATTTCTAAGAAAATGTGACATTCTGTACTGTCGCCTCATATGAAACATTTGATCTCAAATCCAAAATGCTGGAGTATAGACCAACATTTTAAGTTTTAGCTTCACTGTCCAAATAAATACATAGGGGAGTGTATACAATATTGGTTATTACTGGTAGCTGATGGCAATTAAGTTTATTTAACAAAACAACAATGTTTGAACCATAAGAAGACTACAATTGGCAAGCTGCTGCTAGTGCTTTAAAGTGGAGGTGATGCCCCTATGAACGGCATTGTGATCCAGAAGAGGCACAATAACATTGTAACCATGTGAAGAGTTGTTCTCACCTTCTCCTAGCGTCTGCTTCAGTAGATCATGCTTGGCCTGTAGTTTCACTATGAGGTTGCTGCCATTCAGGTACTCTTTGAATTTCTATACAAGCAGACACACAGACACACAGACACACAGACACACAGACAGACAGACAGACAGACAGACAGACAGACAGACAGACACACAGACACACAGACAGAGCAAGAGAGAGCACAAGAGAGAAAGACAAACAGACAGAAAATGCAAAGAGAGAGAGAGAATACTTTTACAATGTGTAATATATGGCATTTAGCAGACGCTTTTATCAAAAGCAACTTATAGTAAGTAGTACAGTGAGTGAATTACTGTTTAATATGTAATCCCTGCAGGAATTGAAGCCGCGACCTTGGCAACCTTAGCTAATGCCACACTCTTACAAACTGAGCCACACAGGACCACACTTGCGATTGTAGGCTAGTCAGTACTGCATTTGAGCAAAAGGTTAATTTCATAATTAATTTGCATGACTTGTATCAGCAAAGCCTGATGATAATACCAGTAAAATGAACTCACAACCAGATGGTTGCCTGTCTGACTTCCACAAGGCATAATGCTGCATAATGATGAACACTGGAGAAAGCCACTAAACTTGAGTAGCTAAAGTACTCTAATAGCAGTGTGCAATTCATTCATAAAAATGGAAAAAGCATTTCTAATGCACTGTAAGTTTTGTTAATATAATAATAACAATAATGTATGATACTTAGCAGACACTTTTTGTAAAGTGACTTACAGTACACTTACAGTTTGTATATGTGTATGTGATTCCCACGGGGGGGCCAGTATGAAAAAAATAATGTATGCACTCACTAACTGTAAGTCGCTCTGGATAAGAGCGTCTGCTAAATGACTAAAAATGTAAAATGTAAAATCCCTGCGGGAATTGAACCCATGACGACAATGATCTGGGGCCGAGCTGGGCTGAGCTCCCTGCCATCCAGGACCTCTATACCAGGCGGCGTCAATTCTTTTTTCCCCCCAAAGAATTCAGCCTACAAAGCCAGACTGTTCTCTTTGCTACCGCATGGCAAGCGGTACTGATGCACCAAGTCTGGAACCAACAGGACCCTGAACAATTTCTACCACCAAGCCATAAGACTGCTAAACAAGACTTCTAAATAGCTAATCAAATTGCTACCTGCTGCCACTGTCCAACTCTCTTGCACTTACTCTATGCACACACAGTGGACTCTACCCACACACTCACACATACTTACATTGACACCCCAACACACACACAGACACACACACACACACACATAACATGCGCACTAATGCATATTGAATGCACACACACACACACACACACACACACACACACACACTGCTGCTACTGTCTAATATCTATCCCTTTGCCTAGTCACTTTAACCCTACTTATACACTGAGTGTACAAAACATTAGGAACACCTTCCTAATTAGGAACACCTTCACAAACCGATGCTGGCACTAAGACCGCACTCAACGAGCTGTATAAGGCCATAAGCAAACAAGAAAATGCTCATCCAGAGGCGGCGCTCCTAGTGGCAGGGAAAACTTTTATCCGTTTTACCTCATTTCTACCAGCATGTTAAATGTGCAACCAGAGGAAAAAAAACTCTAGACCACCTTTACTCCACACACAGAGATGCTTACAAAGCTTTCCCTCGCCCTCCATTTGGCAAATCTGACCATAATTCTATCCTCCTGGTTCCTGCTTACAAGCAAAAACTAAAGCAGGAAGTACCAGTGACTCGCTCAATACAGAAGTGGTCAGATGACGCAGATGCTAAGCTACAGGACTGTTTTGCTAGCAGACTGGAATATGTTCCGGGATTCTTTCAAGGGCATTGAGGAGTACACCACATCAGTCACTGGCTTCATCAATAAGTGCATCGATGACGTCGTCCCCACAGTGACCGTACTTACATACCCCAACCAGAAGCCATGGATTACAGGTAACATCCGCACTGAGCTAAAGGGTAGAGCTGCCGCTTTCAAGGAGTGGGACTCTAACCTGGACGCTTATAAGAAATCCCGCTATGCCCTCCAACGAACCATCAAACAGGCAAAGCGTCAATACAGGATTAACCTGTGCCCCACGCACATTGACTCTGTACCGGTACCCCCTGTACAGTGAGGGAAAAAAGTATTTGATCCCCTGCTGATTTTGTAAGTTTGCCCACTGACAAAGACATGATCAGTCTATAATTTTAATGGTAGGTTTATTTGAACAGTGAGAGACAGAATAACAACAAAAAAATCCAGAAAAACGCAAGTAAAAAATGTTATGAATTGATTTGCATTTTAATGAGGGAAATAAGTATTTGACCCCTCTGCAAAACATGACTTAGTACTTGGTGGCAAAACCCTTGTTGGCAATCACAGAGGTCAGACGTTTCTTGTAGTTGGCCACCAGGTTTGCACACATCTCAAGAGGGATTTTGTTCCACTCCTCTTTGCAGATCTTCTCCAAGTCATTAAGGTTTCGAGGCTGACGTTTGGCAACTCAAACCTTCAGCTCCCTCCACAGATTTTCTATGGGATTAAGGTCTGGAGACTGACTAGGCCACTCCAGGACCTTAATGTGCTTCTTCTTGAACCACTCCTTTGTTGCCTTGGCCGTGTGTTTTGGGTCATTGTCATGCTGGAATACCCATCCACGACCCATTTTCAATGCCCTGGCTGAGGGAAGGAGGTTCTCACCCAAGATTTGACGGTACATGGCCCCGTCCATCGTCCCTTTGATGCGGTGAAGTTGTCCTGTTCCCTTAGCAGAAAAACACCCCCAAAGCATAATGTTTCCACCTCCATGTTTGACGGTGGGGATGGTGTTCTTGGGGTCATAGGCAGCATTCCTCCTCCTCCAAACACGGCAAGTTGAGTTGATCCCAAAGAGCTCGATTTTGGTCTCATCTGACCACAAAACTTTCACGCAGTTCTCCTCTGAATCATTCAGATGTTCATTGGCAAACTTCAGATGGCCCTGTATATGTGCTTTCTTGAGCAGGGGGACCTTGCGGGCGCTGTAGGATTTCAGTCCTTCACGGCGTAGTGTGTTGCCAATTGTTTTCTTGGTGACTATGGTCCCAGCTGCCTTGAGATCATTGACAAGATCCTCCCGTGTAGTTCTGGGATGATTCCTCACCGTTCTCATGATCATTGCAACTCCACGAGGTGAGATCTTGTATGGAGCCCCAGGCGATTGACAGTTTTTTGTGTTTCTTCCATTTGCGAATAATTGCACCAACTGTTGTCACCTTCTCACCAAGCTGCTTGCCGATGGTCTTGTAGGCCATTCCAGCCTTGTGTAGGTCTACAATCTTGTCCCTGACATCCTTGGAGAGCTCTTTGGTCTTGGCCATGGTGGAGAGTTTGGAATCTGATTGATTGATTGCTTCTGTGGACAGGTGTCTTTTATACAGGTAACAGACTGAGATTAGGAACACTCCCTTTAAGAGTGTGCTCCTAATCTCAGCTCGTTACCTGTATAAAAGACACCTGGGAGCCAGAAATCTTTCTGATTGAGAGGGGGTCAAATACTTATTTCCCTCATTAAAATGAAAATCAATTTATAACATTTTTGAAATGCGTTTTTCTGGATTTTTTTGTTGTTATTCTGTCTCTCACTGTTCAAATAAACCTACCATTAAAATTATAGATTGATAATTTCTTTGTCAATGGGCAAACGTACAAAATCAGCAGGGGATCAAATACTTTTTTTCCCTCACTACTGTTATTTTACAGCTACTCTTTAATTATTTGTTATTTTTCAATTTTTCAATCTTTTTTTAACTTATCTTTTTTTTACTTGACACTTATTTTTCTTAAAACTGCATTGTTGGTTAAGGGCTTGTAAGTAAGCATTTCACTAAGGTCTACACCTGTTGTATTCGGCGCATGTGACAAATAAAACTTGATTTGATTTTGATTTGATAATATTGAGTTGCACCCTCTTTTGCCCTCAGAACAGCCTCAATTCATCGGGGCATGGACTCTACAAGGTGTCGAAAGCGTTCCACAGGGATGCTGGCCCATGTTGACTCCAATGCTTCCCACAGTTGTGTCATGTTGGCTGGATGTCCATTGGGTGGTGGACCATTCTTGATACACACGGGAAACTGTTGAGCATGAAAAACTCAGCAGCGTTGCAGTTCTTGACACAAACTGGTGAGCCTGGCACCTACTACCATACCCTGTTCAAAGGCATGTACATATTTTGCCTTGCCCATTCACCCTCAGAATGGCACACACACAATCCATGTCTCACTTGTCTTAAGGCTTAAACATATTTCTTTAACCTGTCACCTCCCCTTAATCTACACGGATTGAAGTGGATTTAACAGTTGACATCAATAAGGGATCATAGCTTTCACCTGGTCAGTCTATGTCATGGAAAGAGCTGGTGTTCCTAATGTTTTGTATACTCAGTGTATGCACATTACCTCATACCACTGCACATCGACTTGGTACTGGTACTCCCTGTATATAGCCATGTTATTTTTACTCGATATTGTTATTCATTATTCACTGTGTATTTATTCCTTGTGTCACTATTTCCATTTTCATTGTTTCACTTTATTCTGCATTGTTGGAAAAGGGCCCATAAGTAAGCATTTAACTGTTAGTCTACACCTGTTGTTAACCATTTGACAATTCAAATTTGATTTGATCTTACCAACAGAGCCACACAGGACCTGGTCAGAGCACTAGGGCAAGGCACTAAACCCAAGTAGTTAAAGTAAAGTACTTAATACCAGGAAGCATTCATACAAATGAGAAAAAAAGCATTTATAATGCTTAGTAACCGGTGTTAGTTGTCAGAGTCAATCACAGTGAAGTCTTAAGCCATGTGACTTATCAGAGCCACTCACAGTAAAGTAGAAGCCCTCCGTCTCCTGCTGGTTGGCTCGTCTCTTAGCAACGTTGGCCTTGCTCATGTAGGAGTCAGACGAGGCAGACTTAACCGACTCAGTGGACTGGCTGTGTTGGAAAGCCTCAGACACATCAAAGTCCTCCACCGTCAGCATGTCCTGCAGAGTCTGCATGGTGGCATCCAGGGTCTTTCTTACCTAAGACAGACAGAAAGGGAAGAGTCATTATTAAGCTGTGTCACAACATCAATATTTTCCTTGCACACAATGAGACTTCAATTGGAATTGTATAATGCTCTTAAAGGAAAAATAGACAAGAAATGCTAGTCAGCAATCAAGCTTTCAAGATATAGAACTTTCAAAAGGCTAATTGTCACTTGCCACTTGTCATGATGATGCAAAATGCATAAAGTTCTACATCTGTATGGGACTGTATCAACAGTGGACTAATGAAACAAATACCAAAATATAGTTTTTGAGTCGATTTTTCCTTTAAGAGCAAAATGTCAAATTAAAGAACAAAATGTCCCACATCTACACTAGTATGAATTCTGCAGACACGATCTTGATCACAGTACTACATCCTACAACCACTTGCATAATGTCAAGTTCAGTCAGCCCGGTAGGGGACATGTTTTTTGGTCTGTGTGAAGATAATTAGGAAGATAACTGGTGTTTTGTCTGTGTGAGAGGGAGAGGAGATGAGCACCTCCATATTCATAGGAGATAAGCTGAACACACAGCACAAATATATGGTGACCTTTACACACATCTGTCTGAATCACTGCAGCAGCAGGAGGCAGGCAGGCAAGTAGGCAGACAGGCAGCAGTCTCTGTAGCTGGAGGATGCAGTGCTAGCTGCTAGGGCCTGGCTGCCTGCCTGGGTGGGTGGGTAATGGGGAAGAGATGGAAGATGAGAGTCAACCCTAGGGCCACACCTTTGTCAGTTTAGAAGATGTATTGTGATTGAAAACACTGCTTGGGTGACAGTCGTCATGTGTTACTGCTAAAGTAGGGCCTCCCCTGCCTGCCTGTTAGATGAGAGGCGATCCCAGGGGCTACACTTTGCATGTGAGATAGGGTGTGTGTGAATGCATTATTGTGTGTGTGAATGTTTGTGAGAGGGAGGGACTGTGTGTGTGTGTGTGTGTGTGTGTGTGTGTGTGCATCCTTATAGTGTGAGAAGGAGAATGCCTCCAGCCGTCATGAACATGGTCAACAGTACAGTAATGCAGTCAGTGTGTGGTTCACCAGAGCTGCTGGGGTCATCTGTTGGCCCTGAGTGGATATAAGCATGTCTGTTTGAGTATTCATGATGTGCATCTAAACATGAGTCACACTGTTTGCCTATAGCCATCTGCCTAGATGGATTTCTGAAGAGACAAGAAAAGACTGACAGTGTATCAGTTTTAACATACTGAATGTTTCCATATCCTATATGCATGTTTTCCCCTAAAAGATTCAGCAGGGCACAACCTTGTGTAACACACAATAGTATAGGTATTGGTTGAAGCTCAATGTTAAATTCACATCTCCCTACCATCATATCTAAGCAAATGTGACACCAATCTCGATGAACATTTGCAAATCGACTTGATTGGAGGTACACAACACACTCCCCGCCTCTCATCATGAGCCGTCCGGCCTTTACCTGATTTTTTAACAGGGTCATTAGCAATTGAGTTTTAAGAGTATTTTCTGCGCCTACCTAGTCAGATTAAAACGAGACTATAGCGTCCATAAAGTGACCATTGGACATACATTTTTTATTTAGTTTTTATTAAATGTATCACTTATTGCTCTCAACTGCTCAATTCTGTCCATTAAGAACCAACGATGTGGTACCTTTTTGTAGCATTCTCTGACATGTACAATAAGGACAATATTCATGACATTCTTATCTACCAAGTTCCATAATTTTTACCTACTGAACATGGCCAAGGTGGTAAGTTTACTGACTCTGACCATGTGACTGTGTTAGGGTTAGAGCTCACCTCCTCGTTCTCTATCTTGAGTGTGGCCAGGCGGGACTGGAGCTGGTGGTGACGCATCAGGAGCTCTGTCTGCATTGGCTGCTGGGCACTCACCTGACACACCTGGTGTAGATAGATTAGATTAGATGGATGGATGGATACTGTAGATAGAGATCAGGGTTTCCGTTAAGTAAATGCTGCGCCGGACAACGTGACCGGGAAGATTTTAATTTACCGGCCATTTGAGAAATGTACCAGACCCATATGCATTGGGTTCGTAACCCATTAGGGCGTCCACCCACGATGCTATTGTGGAAATTCATCTTAACAGAACATGCAACTCCTGTAATGAAGCAGCCAATAACACAGAATTTTCAAACATTTGCCAAAATGCAATTTGCGGGAAAAAAACATTCTAAAACAGCACACCTGATGCCAGCAGTATATGACAGAGATGAAAATCTCCTTAGAAACTTAGAAAGAGGGTGAATCTAAAGATGCAACAACTCAGATGGGTTGCTAATATGACTAGGATCATGCATTTGGCTTCTGGACAACAAAATAAAGTTTATATGATTTTCATCAGTATATTTTCTACTGTTTTTATTTGTCGGCTTTATGTATCTTTACTTAGTTGACAATAAGTTCTAGGCCACCGGCTGCATCGGCCATCTCTGACTTCCATGCACTCATTTAGGCTATTTAGCCGCCAATGATCACGGTGGATAAATGTGTCCATATGGCAGATGCTGGTGCTCTCGCATGATATTTTTATCATTTTAATTAAGATTTTAATGATTAACCACGTGACAATGATTTTGAGAAGTTATAACATTATTATTGAAATTAAACTGATCCATGAAAATAGCCTGCCTACTATTGTTTTTCTCCCGGTCAATTTGGCAGGCAGCAATTCTTTTATCGGCTGGGAAAAAAAAATGACGTTCAATTACCAGCTAACGTAAACCCTGATAGATAGATTAGATGAGATAGATGGATACAGTAGATAGATAGATAGATACAGTGGATAGATAGATACAGTAGATAGATAGATAGATAATATAGTGTAGAGAGAGAGAGAGCGAGATAACTCGTTTTTTTATAGGCTCCCAGAAGGGAACCCACCCAAGACCCTGGCATTGCTGTTACAATCACCCCTCCAATCACAAACCCTCCGCCTCCCTCACCTCGTCGCCCATGTGTGGCTGGTAGTCGAAGCGTGCGGGCGGGCAGAAGATCTGACTGTGCATGTCCATGACCCTGTGTTTGTCCCCCCTGACATCCATGGCATCCACGGCCCCCTCAAGCTGGTCCAGCCCCTCATGGCGGGACGTCTCCAGGCTGTACTCTGCAGACAGGTAGGTCCTCAGGGTCCGCGCCAGGCTGGGATGGTAGCCCATGTCACAGCACTGGGGGGAGGCATGGACAACACAACACAGTCATTATGACAGCAATAACCCTTACCCAATCAGACAGGGAAAATACACAGTCATTACCATATAAATAACCCTTACCCAGGTCACAGACAGGGAAAATACACAGTCATTATGACAGCAATAACCATAAACCTAACCCAGGTTGGGATGAGCAGGAAAAGTACCCAGTCATAAAAGTCACATACACAATCATATTGTTTTTTTCCGTCTAGAACCTGACAATTGGATGTGCAAATGCCACTAAATATTTATACCAAATACAGTCATTACCATAGAATTAGAACTACTACAAAAGGAATGTCTGTTCTAGTAATTATATTTCTATGGTTACCACCATTGAGAAGCACATACTGTTAGTTCCAAACCAATGGGGAGAGATACTGTGTCACAAGATGCTACTATGCTTCCATTTATCAAACTATCTATTACTGTATCAATTATCATTGCAATCCATTACAATCAATAAAATGCTAACTTCAAACAAAAGAGGAGATACTGTGTCACAAGATGCTACTATGCTTCAATTAATCAAACTACTGTATCTATTATTCATTGCAACCAATAGAACGCTAACGTAGAATAAAATACCCTATGTGTTACAAGATGCTACTGGGCTTTCGTGTATCAAATGGATTCTACTATTCTCACTTTGTTATAATCAGCATGTCCTGTACCACCCACTCACATCTATCATGTCAGAGACATCGTGGATGTAATATTTGGCCACCAGAGCATTGGTCGCGGCCAGGTTTAACAAATAGTCGTTCCGGGCTTTAGTGCACTTCAGCTTGTTTTCAGAGTATTTTGCTTGTCTCTGGGGAGAGAGGGAGAGAAGAGAGAGGGAGAGAGAGAGCGAAAAAGCGAGATAGAGGGGGGGGGGGGGGGGGGGGGGGGTTAGGGGGGAGAGGGAGACAAATCAGTAAACCATTGATAATAATAATAAATAATAATATGCCATTTAGCAGACGCTTTTATCCAAAGCGACTTACAGTCATGTATGCATACATTTTTACATATGGTATGAATGGTAGAATATAAACTAACAGTTATTAATCACTAGCTTGTCTCTCTGGTAGAATAGAAACTAACAGTTATCATCACTAGCTTGTCTCTCTGAATGGTAGAATAGAAACTAACAGTTATCATCACTAGCTTGTCTCTCTGAATGGTAGAATAGAAACTAACAGTTATTAATCACTAGCTTGTCTCTCTGAATGTTAGAATATAAACTAACAGTTATTAATCACTAGCTTGTCTCTCTGAATGTTATAATATAAACTAACAGTTATCATCACTAGCTTGTCTCTCTGGTAGAATAGAAACTAACAGTTATCATCACTAGCTTGTCTCTCTGAATGTTATAATAGAAACTAACAGTTATCATCACTAGCTTGTCTCTCTGAATGGTAGAACAGAAACTAACAGTTATTAATCACTAGCTTGTCTCTCTGAATGGTAGAATATAAACTAACAGTTATCATCACTAGCTTGTCTCTCTGGTAGAATAGAAACTAACAGTTATCATCACTAGCTTGTCTCTCTGGTAGAATAGAAACTAACAGTTATCATCACTAGCTTGTCTCTCTGAATGTTATAATAGAAACTAACAGTTATCATCACTAGCTTGTCTCTCTGAATGTTATAATAGAAACTAACAGTTATCATCACTAGCTTGTCTCTCTGAATGTTATAATAGAAACTAACAGTTATCATCACTAGCTTGTCTCTCTGAATGTTATAATAGAAACTAACAGTTATCATCACTAGCTTGTCTCTCTGAATGTTATAATAGAAACTAACAGTTATCATCACTAGCTTGTCTCTCTGAATGGTAGAATAGAAACTAACAGTTATTAATCACTAGCTTGTCTCTCTGAATGGTAGAATATAAACTAACAGTTATCATCACTAGCTTGTCTCTCTGGTAGAATAGATGATCTATTTCTAAATCGATTCTTATACTAAGGATGTAAAACATTTAGTTCCATCTATGGATAACTAATTTCATCAAAATACTTTACATGCGACACATGAAACAATAGAAGTCCATTCTTACCACAGCAACAAAACCAGTTAAAGTTTTTTGGTCATTAGTGTATACATTAACTGATTAAATGTCAGAGGCTAATGCATCCAAGTCCTCTGAGCTTTTACAGACAATTGGTAGAACACACACACTCAGCCCAAGCCACACCTTCTCCTTCATCTTCTCCATCTTCTTGACGGAGCTGCGTCGCTGTGGGCGGTCGTCATGGCGCAAGAGGCTGGTGCTGACATCATTGGCCTTGCCAATCTGCTTCTCTTCCTGTTTCTCCGCCTCCTTCAGCTTGCTCTCAGCGCTGATGCTCTCTGTGTGGTACATGTGGTACGTCTTCATCACCTACACAGGGACAGGAGGACAATGATTAGAGCAGTGTGTGTGTGTGTGTGTGTGAACATTAAACAGAACATTGTATAGAACTGTGGTCATGGGAGTAACTCAACGGAGTAACTACAGCAATACACTAAACTCACGATAAGCATATAACAGACTTGATGTCAATGGGAGATATCTAAAGTTAGGATTCCGCATGCTAATCCGATTGTATCCTGTATACTGAATGAGAGATTTGTGACTGAGTGCTAAAATTAGGTTACCGCTGTTGCTTTCCTCTCCCCTCACACACTACAAACTCACCCTCTCTCTTACAGGTCTCCTAGCAACTCTGATTGAAGTAATCGATGTGAGGAGAGAGCAAGTGAAACCAGCAGGAAGATTGTCGTAGCCAAGTTACAGAGATCCTTTTCTCTAGCTGAGTTACAGAGAACCTTTCCTCATTCCTCTGGCTGTTGCTGGGTGTGAAACAAGAGAGGACACTTTGATTCTGACTGGAAGCTGGAGATGTGGTTAAAGCCAAGCTGGCTCTCACATTGTGCATTATACATCAACACTGTACAAGTATGTACAAGGCCTAGCTATGAACTATGTCACCTACTGTGTGTATGTGAACGTATAAATGAGACATACACATGAAAAAAAGCTAATAAATGAAAATCTGCATCATTATGTTGCATGTCATGCAGAATCATTCTCATGCGGCCATTTAGCCACGTAGTGTATTTAAAGCCCAGGTATTTCTATGGGTTTCATGTAGCTATGCATGCTTGCTGCTGCACAGTGTGATCGTGTTATTTTACCAATGCTCACTGGCCTGCCTACAGCCCTTAAATATCTATCTGAGGGATGTGAATGGACAGACACGGCATGTGTCGACACTAGTCAGTCACAGCCATTCTATATCCATTTCAACACAGTGTTCCAACCAAAACAAACTAACTGGATTAACATTCTATTACAACTGATATAATACCAGCTTCTGTAATGTGGCTGCTGGTTTAGCTGTCTGGCTAGTGGACAATGTCATTCTCTACATATTGATTGTGATCCAGAACTCTGGCTACACAGCCAATAGAGTCCATACTGTCTGTGTTACAGAGACATGCCATGGCATGCCAGAAATAGGCATCACATTTCACAAATGAGTGCCTTCCTGTCACACACACACATACACAGACACACACATATACACCCTCACACGCGCATGCACACGCGCACACATAAAATCTCACAACGTCAGCAAGACAAAGGAGCTGATCGTGGACTACAGGAAACGGAGCGGCCGAGCACGCCCCCATTCACATTGACGGGGCTGTAGTGGAGACGGTCGAGAGCTTCAAGTTCCTCTGTGTCCACATCACTAAGGACCTAACATGGTCCAAACACACCAACACAGTCGTGAAGAGGTCACGACAACACCTCTACCCCTTCAGGAGGCTGAAAAGATTTGGCATGGGCCCTCAGATCCTCAAAATGTTATACAGCTGCACCATCGAGAGCATCTTGACTGGCTGCATCACCGCTTGGTATGGCAACTGCTTGACATCCGACCGCAAAGCACTACAGAGGGTAGTGCGTAGGGCCCAGTACATCACTGTGGCCAAGCTCACTGTCACCCAGGACCTCTAATACCAGGCGGTGTCAGAGGAAGGCCCTAAAAATTGTCGTGGACTCCATCCACCCAAGTCACAGTCTGTTCTCTCTGCTACTGCACAGCAAGCGATACCGGAGCGTCAAGTCTGGGACCAAAAGGCTCCTGAACAGCTTCTACCCCAAAGCCATAAGACTGTTGAACAGTTAATTAAATGGCTACCCAGACTTTCTGCAATTCACCCCCTACCTACATGTACTTCAATCAATTAATCACCTAACCAAACCTACATGTACATATTACCTCAATCAATCACCCCAACTACCTCGTACCCCAGTACACTGACTCGGTACTGGTACTCTTTGTATATAGCATATATATAGCCTTGTTATTGTTATTTTATTGTGTTACTATTTTATTTTAATCAATTTGTAATGTTCTTACTTTTTAACTGCATTGTTGGTAAATGGCTCGTGAGTAAGTATTTCACTGTAAAGTCTACACTTGTTGTATTTGGAGCATGAGACAAATACAATTTGATTTGATTGAGCATTCATTATTGTGTGTGCGTATGTGTTTGCATGTGTGTGTGTGTGTGTGAGTGCGTGCATGCATGCGTATGCATACTCTTCTATGCATGTACACAGTCAATTTACCGACAGAAGAGAAGGTTGCCTTTTAACTTTAACAACAGATCTGTGTTTGATCCTGTGTAGCATGGGCTGAATATGTAAATATGTGACGATACACCTTGGCAGTGAGCAGACCTCCACTGCAGTGGAAACTGCTGAGTCAGCTTGGAGCAGAGCCAATGGCAAGTACAGTTTCTCCTTCAACTATAACTTCTCTCACAGAGGGAGGAAAAATGCAAATTCTTCATGTCCTCCAGGGCAGAAAGAAATGACCTGTGTAGCAAGGCTGTACTGCAGGAGTGCTGATAAAGCTATTCTGCACTGGGCAGATCCTGGGCAACCCAGAGACTAGAGCAGAGAGCCAGAGGGTCTGAGGTGGGTCTAGTGGAATGGAGTTAGCTTCAGGAGGCTAACTAACAAACATGGAGAGTGGATTGAAGGAGATACTGTACAGTACAAAGATATGGGGGAAGAGAAAAAGAAGGAGAGAGAGAAAAAAGAACAAGACAGAGAGCGAGAGAGAGAGAGAGGGGAGAGCGAGAAAGAGGGGTGAGAGAGAGAGAGAGAATGACATGTTGTTGTTTACTCACAGTGTAGAGCTCATTCGTGACTTTTACCAACTCCTCGTGCATCTGCACCCCGATGTCTTTGCTCTGAAAAGAAGCAGAGGAAGCATGAAGTGTGTAAATCAATCTCACAGGTGACAGGAAGATGTTTACCATTAACAGACCTGGTTGTGTTTCCCTGAGGCATGAATACATCGGTTTCCCTGGATCATGTGTCTGTATGGGAGAGATGTGTTTCCCTTTGACATATGTTTGTATGGGAGAGATGACTGAACACTGTGACATGTTGTTTTCCTCTATTTGTGAAAAGGCTGAATGCAATACTATGTAGTGTACAGGCAAGCAGCTAATATACATTTCTAATGCCTCCTACTGACCACCTGGACCGCCCCCAGGTGGTAAGGGCAGGAAACAACACATCTGCCACGCTGATCCTCAACAGGGGGCCCCTCAGGGGTGCGTGCTCAGTCCCCTCCTGTACTCCCTGTTCACCCATGACTGCATGGCCAGGCACGACTCCAACACCATCATTAAGTTTGCCGACGACACAACAGTGGTAGGCCTGATCACCGACAACGATGAGACAGCCTATAGGGAGGAGGTCAGAGACCTGGCCGTGTGGTGCCAGGATAACAACCTCTCCCTCAACATGATCAAGACAAAAGGAGAGGATTGTGGACTACAGGGGAAAAAAGAGCACGCCCCCATTCTCATCAACTGGGCTGTAGTGGAACAGGTTGAGAGCTTCAAGTTCCTTGGTGTCCACATCACCAACAAACTATCATGGTCCAAACACACCAAGACAGTCGTGAAGAGGGCACGACAAAGCCTATTCCCCCTCAGGAGACTGAAAACATTTGGCATGGGTCCTCAGATCCTCAAAAACTTATACAGCTGCACCATCGAGAGCATCCTGACTGGTTGCATCACCGCCAGGTATGGCAACTGCTCGGCCTCCGACCGCAAGGCACTACAGAGGGTAGTGCGTACGGCCCAGTACATTACTGGGGCCAAGCTTACTGCCATCCAGGACCTCTATACCAGGCAGTGTCAGAGGAAGGCCCTAAAAATTGTCAAACACTCCAGCCACTCTAGTCATAGACTGTTCTCTCTGCTACCACACGGCAAGCGGTACCGGAGCGCCAAGTCTAGGTCCAAAAGGCTTCTCAACAGCTTCTACCCCCAAGCCATAAGACTTCTGAACAGCTAATCATGGCTACCCGGACTATTTGCACTACCCCCCCCCCCCCCCCACCCCACCCCATCCCTCTCTTTTACACTGCTGCTACTCTGTTTATGATTTATGCATAGTCACTTTAACTCTACCCACATGTACATATTACCTCAATTACCTCGACTAGCTGGTCCCCCGCATATTGACTCTGTACCGGTACCCCCCTGTATATAGCCTCCCTACTGTTATTTTATTTTACTGCTGCTCTTTAGTTATTTGCTTTTATTTTTTTACTTAACAATTTATTTTTATTTTTTAACTGCATTGTTGGTTAAGGGCTTGTAAGTAAGCATTTCACTAATGTCTACACCTGTTGTATTCGGCGCATGTGGCAAATAACATTTGATTTGATCTATGACAAGGAAGGTTGCCACGCACATGGTTGTTATGCACAACAGAAGTGAGTTAGGCCTAATCAATTGCAGTTTCCTCTGAGAGATCAGTGCTATGGCAACAACACTACATTTACACATATAAAGAACAACTTAAACAGTATTCATTTAACAGTATTTTTTGTTTAGTATATTCATGTTGCACAATATTTGCTTCTACATTGAAACCGGATGGTATGTGCTGTGGAATGCATAGATAAGGGGTCATCAACTAGATTCAGCCAGGGCTGATTTTTCCTTGACCGGATGGTCGGTGGGCCGGAACATAATTACAAAATATTTTGTAGACTGCAAATTACCCTCAAGAAGCCCAAACCGATACAGTGGGGGGGGAAATTATTTAGTCAGCCACCAATTGTGCAAGTTCTCCCACTTAAAAAGATGAGAGAGGCCTGTAATTTTCATCATAGGTACACGTCAACTATAACAGACAAAATGAGAACATTTTTTCCAGAAAATCACATTGTAGGATTTTTTTATGCATTTATTTGCAAATTATGGTGGAAAATAAGTATTTGGTCAATAACAAAAGTTTCTCAATACTTTGGTATATACCCTTTGTTGGCAATGACACAGGTCAAACGTTTTCTGTAAGTCTTCACAAGGTTTTCACACACTGTTGCTGGTATTTTGGCCCATTCCTCCATGCAGATCTCCTCTAGAGCAGTGATGTTTTGGGGCTGCCGCTGGGCAACACAGACTTTCAACTCCCTCCAAAGATTTTCTATGGGGTTGAGATCTGGAGACTGGCTAGGCCACTCCAGGACCTTGAAATGCTACTTACGAAGCCACTCCTTCGTTGCCCGGGCGGTGTGTTTGGGATCATTGTCATGCTGAAAGACCCAGCCACGTTTCATCTTCAATGCCCTTGCTGATGGAAGGAGGTTTTCACTCAAAATCTCACGATACATGGCCCCATTCATTTTTTCCTTTACACGGATCAGTCGTCCTGGTCCCTTTGCAGAAAAACAGCCCCAAAGCATGATGTTTCCACCCCCATGCTTCACAGTAGGTATGGTGTTCTTTGGATGCAACTCAGCATTCTTTGTCCTCCAAACACGACGAGTTGAGTTTTTACCAAAAAGTTATATTTTGGTTTCATCTGACCATATGACATTCTCCCAATCCTCTTCTGGATCATCCAAATGCACTCTAGCCAACTTCAGACGGGCCTGGACATGTACTGGCTTAAGCAGGGGGACACGTCTGGCACTGCAGGATTTGAGTCCCTGGCGGTGTAGTGTGTTACTGATGGTAGGCTTTGTTACTTTGGTTCCAGCTCTCTGCAGGTCATTCACTAGGTCCCCCCGTGTGGTTCTGGGATTTTTGCTCACCGTTCTTGTGATCATTTTGACCCCACGGGGTGAGATCTTGCGTGGAGCCCCAGATCGAGGGAGATTATCAGTGGTCTTGTATGTCTTCCATTTCCTAATAATTGCTCCCACAGTTGATTTCTTCAAACCAAGCTGCTTACCTATTGCAGATTCAGTCTTCCCAGCCTGGTGCAGGTCTACAATTTTGTTTCTGGTGTCCTTTGACAGCTCTTTGGTCTTGGCCATAGTGGAGTTTGGAGTATGACTGTTTGAGGTTGTGGACAGGTGTCTTTTATACTGATAACAAGTTCAAACAGGTGCCATTAATACAGGTAACGAGTGGAGGACAGAGGAGCCTCTTAAAGAAGAAGTTACAGGTCTGTGAGAGCCAGAAATCTTGCTTGTTTGTATGTGACCAAATACTTATTTTCCACCATAATTTGCAAATAAATTCATAAAAAATCCTACAATGTGATTTTCTGGATTTTATTTTCTCAATTTGTCTGTCATAGTTGACGTGTACCTATGATGAAAATTACAGGCCTCTCTCATCTTTTTAATTGGGAGAACTTGCACAATTGGTGGCTGACTAAATACATTTTTCCCCCACTGTATAATATTTGACTAAAACATAATCATTTCAAACCTTGCTTACATTGGTTTATGATCACGTGTCTCTTACGCGTGGGAATATTTGGGAACAGATTTCCAGAATTAAATAACTTGGAGCTGATTTCCTGGTGTTTTTACATTTTATGTCCAACCATGAAAATTAAATTAAATATACAGTACCAGTCAAACGTTTGGACACACCTACTCATTGAAGGGTTTTTCTTCATTTTTACTATTTTTTATGTTGTAGAATTTGTATTTGTATTTGTATTTATTATGGACCCCATAAGCTGCTGCCAAGGCAGCAGCTACTCTTCCTGGGGTCCAGCAAAATTAAGGCAGTTCATACAATTTTAAAAACATTACAATACATTCACAGATTTCACAACACACTGTGTGTCCTCAGGCCCCTACTCCACCACTACCACATATCTACAGTACAAAATCCATGTGTACGTGTGTGTATAGTGCGTATGTTATCGTGTGTGTGTATGCATGTGCCTGTGCCTATGTTAGTGTTGCTTCACAGTCCCCGCTGTTCCATAAAGGTGTTTTTTCATCTGTTTTTTAAATCTAATTTCACTACTTGCATCAGTTACTTGATGTGGAATAGAGTTCCATGTAGTCATGGCTCTATGTAGTCCTGTGCGCCTCCCACAGTCTGTTCTGGACTTGGGGACTGTGAAGAGACCTGTCTTGTGGCATGTCTTGTGGGGTATGCATGGGTGTCCGAGCTGTGTGCCAGTAGTTCAAACAGACAGCTAGGTGCATTCAACATGTCAATACCTCTCATAAATACAAGTAGTGATGAAGTCAATCTCTCCTCCACTTTGAGCCAGGAGAGATTGACATGCACATTATTAATATTAGCTCTCTGTGTACATCCAAGGGCCAGCCCTGCTGCCCTGTTCTGAGCCAATTGCAATTTTCCTAAGTCCTTTTTTGTGGCACCTGACCACATGACTGAACAGTAGTCGAGGTGTGACAAAACTAGGGCCTGTAGGACCTGCCTTGTTGATAATGCTGTTAAGAAGGCAGAGCAGCGCTTTATTATGGACATACTTCTCCACATCTTAGCTACTTTTGTATCAATATGTTTTGACCATGACAGTTTACAATCCAGGGTTACTGCAAGCAGTTTAGTCACCTCAACTTGCTCAATTTCCACATTATTTATTACAAGATTTAGTTGAGGTTTAGGGTTTAGTGAATGATTTGTCCCAAATTACAATGCTTTTAGTTTTTGAAATATTTAGGACTAACTTATTCCTTGCCACCCACTCTGAAACTAACTGCAACTCTTTGTTAAGTGTTGCAGTCATTTCAGTCGCTGTAGTAGCTTACATGTATAGTGTTGAGTCATTTGTATACATACACACTCTGGCTTTACTCAAAGCCAGTGGCATGTCATTAGTAAAGATTGAAAAAAGTAATGGGCCTAGACAGCTGCCCTGGGGAATTCCTGATTCTACCTGGATTATGTTGGAGGCTTCCATTAAAGAACACCCTCTGTGTTCTGTTAGACAGGTAACTCTG